TTACTATTTATAATCTAGTATAGATTATATAGTTCAAATCTATACTATTAGTTTTCTTAATAAATTTTTGACTATTTTGAATTTAGATACATATTTAGAATTTAATATAGTACCTTACTATAGTACTTTACTATAGTATCTTAGTATAGTACCTTACTATAGTACCTTACTATAGTATTTTAATATAGTACCTTAGTATAGTACTTTAGTATAGTATATACCTTACTATAGTATCTTAGTATAGTACTTTAGTATAGTACCTTGATATGTTTTACCAATATAATGGTAGTGTTTTCTTAATAATTCTAAAGCTATATAAACTCTGCCTTTTTCCTAAAGGCAGGTTAAGTTTTGCTAGGTCTTAACTTAACTATTTTTTAATAAATAAATATTATCTTTTTAACTATATACTTGTTATATTATATACTCTCTTTTATTGCCTTTTTGTTATCCTTTGTTGTTTCTTTTTATTACTTTTTATCTTGATTTTATTGTTTCTTTTATTACTCTTTCTTACTACTTTCTATTTAAGTTTTATTATTTTTTGTTAGTTTTTCTTCTTGCTTTTTATATTTTTATATCATATATTTTTATATTTTTTGCCTTTAGTTTTCTTTTTTTTCTTCTCTTCTTTTCTCTTTTATTTATATTTCTTACTTTTAGCACGTTAAGTCAAGTGACAAAGTTAATACCACAAGGGTTACTATATTACACTATATATTAATAAACAGGATTATATATAAGGCATATGAAGTGAAGTCAATAGAAAAAAGACAAATTTTTTCTAAATAAAAGTTTTTTTAACTTTAAGCTTAAATATCTTAACAATTATTTTATTAAATTTTATAATTTTTTTTTATTTTAACTTTATATAATTCCAAAATTAAAATAAAAAAAAATTTAGCAAATTTGATTAGTTAGTTGTTAAAATAGAGTATTTTAATTTAAAAATTAAAAAAATTATACTAAAAATGATTTGTTATTTTTCTATTAACTCCATCTCATATTTACACTATGTAAAATATCTAATATTCAAGATTGTTCAAAATTGTTCAAGTTTATATTTCAAGTTTAAATAATTAATAAAGTAATTTAAAAAAATACATAATTATATATTTTTTTAGATATTAAATTTATTTATAAAAAAATTAAAATAGATTATCTTAATAAAATTTTGAGTAATTTTAACTTGAAAAAATATTTAAAATTGTTTAAAATTGTTCTATATACAATATTATTAATAAGTATAATATATCCTCTAACTAATATTGGTTATTTAATATTGATCTATAATTTATTATATATAAATTTAGAAATAATGTCTCTCTATCTTTAATTTAACTAGCATTAAAATTGCTCTGGCTTATAATTAATATAATTTATCCTAGTATTAAAAAAAATTTTCTATATAGTTAAATAGTTTCAATTCTTACCTTAACCCAATTTTAAAAAAAAACCTAACAAAAAATCTTAAAAAATTTTAAATTTTTATAATAAAATAAAACAAAAATTCAGTATTAGCCAAATTTAATATTGTTAAATTTGGCTAATATTAAATTTTTGTTCTATTTTATTATGAAATTTTAAAATTTTTTAAGTTTTTTTGTTAGGTTTTTTTTTTTAGAGTTGGGTTAAGGTTTAAAGTTAGTGCTGTAGTTAGTAAAAAGTATATAAATTTTAGTAGATATTATAAATTTAATTAGAGATTCTAAAATTTAGTATTAGCTATAATATTTAATTAAACAAACAAAATTATAAACTAAAACTTTTATTAATTTAAAATTTTAAAAAATAAATTTTATTAAAATTAAACTAGTAGTAATTTTTATTTTTTTAAAATCAAAATATAATTTTTAATATTGTATAAAGTAAAAATTTATATAATATAATAAAAATTTTTAAATTTTGTTATACAATATATAGGATTATTAAAATTTTTAAATATTTTTATTTAAAATTACTAACTTTAATTATTTAATATATCTTCAAGCTATAGCATCTCTTGGTAATTTAACTAGAAAGACAAGTTAGCAATATTTTAATTATAATATTAAAATTTTAAAATTTAATTATATATACAGTCAGATCTCTTTAAATGCATAGTCTTGGGTAGCCAAAAAATATTGTATTTAGAGAGGTATTGCATTTAGGAAGGTAAAAATCTATAAGTGTCATATAAGTTGGGGCCAAACAAAGCCATGCATTTAGAGAGACTATGCATTTAGAGAATATACATTTAGGGAGGTCTGGCTGTAATATCAAAATCTTAAATTTTTAAAAAATAAAAAATTATATTTTTAAAAAATTAAAAATAAATATATAGTATAAAATTTAAAAAAAAATATATTATTGTCCAGAGTATAGCGGAAGACATTTAGTGTTTATGTATGGTGATACCAAAATTATGTTATTGATGCATTAAACGTTACTATTTTGATACACTACTAAGAAAAATATCAAAAATGTAATTTTTAATTTTCTTGTCTGTCCGCACGCGTGTCTAAATTTGTACTTTGGTGTTACAAAAACAAACATGTTTTTACAAAATTATAATAGGCTCCAGACACACAATGCTACGCATTAACCTAGTATATATTTATACTTAGAGCATTTATTTTTTTAATACATTTTGCATCCTGCTATTTTAAAAATTTTATTAGAATAACCTGTATATAATTAATAAAAAAATATTTCTTATGCAATTTTATACTAATTTTAATCTTATATTTGGGCTTATTTTGCTATAGGATACACTAATATATATCCTAATCAAAATTAAAATTTTTTATATATTTATATATTTAGATTTAAAATTAAATATATAGATTTGGACTCTATAGTTTAGTTGTTAAGTTGTCAAACTTTCATGAAAATTAAGTCAAGATTCATAATTTAAGTTGGGCTGGAAGTAAAAAAAGCTTTATAATCTATAGATAAGAAGCCAAATCGAATATGGAGCTCTGTAGAAGTCCAAGTATAGTACAGATTTAATAGAAAATTCTTAGAAAGAGATTGAACTATAGAGAATTAGCACTATGTGTGACAAGTAGTAGTTATAGAAGATTTAGAAATTAGATTATATATGTAAGTTTTTGGAAACCAAAACTATAAAGAGTAGATACTATATATGATAAACAGCAGTCATGGAAGGTTTGAAGCAAATAGGTTGTATATATAAATTCTTGAGGCACTTAGATAACACTAACAACCCAGGTAGTCTGGGATCTTGATTGGGAGGATAATATTAATGTTCCAAACTAGAAGTAGTAAGTAAAGTAGAAGATATAATAAAAATTTTCTAAATAGTACCAACAACTCTAAGATACTGGGACCTTGTTTGGAAGAGTAATACTAATGTTCTAAACTAGAAGTAGTAAGTAAAGTGGTGGATATAGTAAAGATCTGTGATAAAGAATTAGACTAATTAAATCTTGGAAATACTTCTAGTACCTATATATAGTTAGAAGTTGTATTAGGTATTGTGTTATATATTACTAACTTTAGTAATAAGTGCCATGCTAGTATGTTATTAGTCAAGGTTCTAGCCCTCTTTATAGTACCAAGCTAAAAGTATAAATAATCATTAGTAGTATACCTATGAGAAAAATATAGAAAGCCTTTGATACTCATGCTACAGATAATATTAATTTTGGTAGCACTATATAAAGCAGGTGATATACTGTAGAATAACAATTAGAAGATCGATAAATCTGTCTGTACTTAATATAAAAGGTTGTAGCTTGAGATACAGATTGTGTTATAGTAGCAACTAAAAAGCTGGCTTGAGATATAAACACAATAACAGCAGCACAACAGGTAGTATTAGTAAGGATATGTATATCAATTTGAAAGTAACAAAAGCGAAAAGCTACCAGAATGAACCAAACTAAAAGATAAAGAAGGTTGTTACAGGAAGTAGATAGGGGGACAAAATATTAATAACAATATAGAAAAACTATATATAGGGAAAAGGTGAATCATATATTAGCTAGAAGTTGATTGATGGGGTAATAGCTATTGATTAAAATCTAAAAAAGCAAAAATACAACTAAATTGCTTAGGTGGGTGTCATTAGATAGTTTAGTGTAGCACAACTTAATTCCTGTAATATACAATATGTAATAAGTTCTTAAGTTCTTAATTAATAAAATTACAATGTATAAGCAATTTACCAAAAAAAACCAAAAAACAAATATATATATATATACATACTATATATATATATATTAAAAAAAAAAATAACTAATTGTACACTATGTGTATAGACACGGGTATTATTTTGTAGCATACTAATCAAAATTTTTACAAACAAAAAATTAAACTCCTGCTTATAGCTAGGGTAAGGGTGAGGTTTGGGATTGGGGCGAGGGTTAGTTTATACCAAAATTTTGCTAGGAATTTTTTTGTTAAAAGCCAAAAGGTGGTTTTATAATCGAAGTTTTGAGAAACAACGATACCCAACAATACTCCGTATATATACACTATATAGTGTACAAATAGTAATTGCTTAAAAAAAAATAACAACTATATATATATCGATATATTTTAATTAAAGCTTTAAACAACGCATGTTGCATTATATTTTTGGGAATATAATTTTTAAGCACACTGTATATGTTTAATATTAATTATGTCGATGCATATTAGTCATTATTTTAGTGCTTTATTAAAGAAAAAAAATTGAGTGAAAACCTCAACATATTGCTAATCGTATTGATATTTTTTTTTTAAAAAAAAACTAGATCTAACAAAGTAATGAACCTTTATTTATTAATAATTATATATATACTTGGTTAAAACTACAGTATATTATATTTTAAAATCACATATTAAGAATGATATTTAGATAAATTGAGCCAATGTAAAATAGAATAAAACCAACTGAATTGAAGAAACTGGTAGAAATCGTAGAAGCCGAACTTGCTTTTGCGGTACTATATCAAATATATTTTAACGTTAATATCTATATAAATTAAATATTTGATATTGTAAACAAATAACTATACAAACGTGGTAGTTGAACCGGTAGTTGAACCTGTAGGCTTTGTAGGACGTGAACCTGATGCTGGTGAACTATTAGGCGGATTAGGAGCACCGCTACTTGGAGGTTTAGCTGGAGCGGCAGCCGGAGCGGCAGCGGGAGCATTGCCTGTGGGAGCATTGCCTGCAGAAGTCCCATCAGTCGGATTTGAAGGAGCACCAGACAACGGGACTCCGCTAATCACGTTAAAGAAACCGGAAAATTTTTCACCACTACCATCATTAATAACGAATAAATACTGTCCTGGTTGAACATCGACTTTCCATTGTTTACTTAATTTTGAGAGATCTAATGCACCATCTATCGTGGTATCTTCGTTTGTCGCTCTATTACGTATTTTTAAAGTGCCCGCTATCGTCGGTGCAACGCCATTAACTACCCATGTAATTGTAGCTAAAGCACCCGTAGAAAGTGTTCCAGTTGGTGTATTGACAGTAATCTCTATAGTTAGAATTATATTTGTAATTAATGTTCAAAAGATGTTTTGAGAGTAAGGAAATAAACGTAAACGTATGGAAAGAAAAAGTTTAAATATAATATATATATTCCACGAGTAATTAAATTGATATCATTAATGTGTGATATGGTATTTGATTTTTCTAGAATTTTTCTTAATTATCTAACGTTTTTAAAAATATTAGAATATATACAAACCACTAACAACTAAAACAACCAAAACAGCAATAATAGAAAGTGTGATGGTAGAAAAATAGCTCATCTTTTTTTTTTTTTTTTTTCTTTCTTTCTTTTAGTATTTGTCGTCTTTTTTATATATAAAATTTTATTATGTTTCTTATATAAAATTTAATCTTGTGCGTAAACAAAGTGTGAATAACAAATAATGTTTACTAATTGTTATAATGAAGATGCCAATATTTAAAGGAAAAAATTTAATTGTAAAGGACGAACGTATTTAACACTTTTTCAAAGGACGAACTAGGAGATTTACTTAAATCGGATTTAGGAGCAAAATGGTTTAAGGTGAAAAAGGTTGAAAACTCAACTGAGGTTGTAAAACGATTCGCGTCTACATCATTATGCAGGAAAAGGGATTATAAGAATTAAATTCACTTTTGATCTAAAAAAAGATAAATAATTATTAAAAAATTTAGAAAATAATGTGAATATCAGATCGATCGATATTAGCATAACCAAAAAATGCTTGTTTTAAAATCGAAAATAGTTTATTAATTCGATAATAGGAAAAAACTCTAGGCGGTTTCAAATTCACATTATTTATCGATATATACATACTGACTTTATAGTTTTACATCATAGGAGAAACAAAATTTCTATTCATAGATAAAGATAAGAATTCGGTAAATCATTTTCGATATATATATTTGACCTAAGGAATTCCAATTACTTTTCTAAACGCACCCCTTTTGAAAATCTCTCCTTTCGATTCGATCCTTAAATTGTTATTTATGTGTTTTTTTTATCATCTGATATTAAAATAGACAAAACGTCTTCGAGATGTTTAACGTTAAAGCTTCATTTAAGAATTTTCGTTAAAACACGAAAGCAGTTTCTTATGCAATTTCGAAATAATGCTAAATGAGCGTTCATTTTAAATTTTTGCTCGTTCCCTATTGGTAAGTTGCTGTTAACCATAATAAACTGTTCTAAAATTATTATACAATATTTTATATGGGTGTTTTTAAACTAGGAATAAATCTTATTTTCGATTATGTAATAACTTAATAATTTTCATGTTTGTGATTTTTTTAAACATTTTAAATTACGGCATAAGTACTTAAATTATAGCAATAATATGATGACATATCAAACATTATGGAATTTATTATTGATTTTCTAAGAATAAACACTAGAAAAAATTCTTTACTCTTCGATCTATAATAAACAATACGTCTAACCCATTTTTCCTATAGGTATAAACCATTTTCTCAGTATCGCAACCCATTTTAAATTTCTGTACAATTCAGATAAACACTTTACATTTATCGTGCAGGTTGACAAAAGTCAACAGATCGAAAAGACAGGGGAGAATGGTCAGGGTTACACGCCATGTGCTACAGCCCTGGATCGAAAGAGACAAACAGGAGGAACCGTTGATGTTACACACCTAATTTTACACACGGTGTGAAACACATAAAAAAATTATTTTAGATCGGACTTGATCGGTCAGCTGGTACATGTTACGATTATAATCCAACACCATTTTTTATTATAAAAAAATGATGTTGGATTATAATCGTAACATGTACT